GAGAGTGCAACAACTATTGAATAGTTTCATTTTTAATATTCTATTGAATATTGTCTTTGATGTTCAAATATTTTATGAAACTAAAGAAAGTTTTGTTTCATTTTAATGATTAAATAAACTTTGATGATTATTTAAAAAGTCAACATTTATTATTAATACATTTATTATTATAATTATTATTTACTAATGACACTTGAAATATTACAAGGTTATGAAAAAACATCACGGATAAATAATTACTGTCATAGCAAGTAGCATAAAATGCTATTCCTAGGAATCCTTCCCAATCTGGCAACCTAAATCAGGCAGTTGGAATGGCAATATCACTGATCTCTTTTCCAATGCATGGCCCAATGGTTCTTAGCATGAAGGGTAACCGTTTCAGTGGCATTTCCACTTGAAAATTGTTCAACACAGAATGCTTACAAACACGAGCATGTGACCTTACTCGCTGCAGTACAGGCTTGGTTTCAGTAACTGATGGTTAAATAACACCCGTTTAGAGAATAAAGAATTTGAAAGCACAGCAATGAGGGACTGGTGTTGGAGTGACAACAAAATTTCAATGTGTTTTGCGGTATATGTAGGTATTGGACTGTTAGCAGTTAGCCCCTCTTTTGTGTAATTTTCTTCAGTACTTCCTGGGTCTGATTTAGCAGCACAGCAAATAGAAAAAGAATGGTTTCATGAGTCCCCACCAGCATGGAACAGCCCAGTATGGCCCTGGAAATCATTTGCCTCTACACTGGAAAAGAGGCCACTAGGGCTTTGACAAGAAAGGACAATTTGACCTTTATAAAAAAAAGGCTAACTTAACCATAACTTACTGTTTGCCTTATGTACAGGTGCATTATCTTGCTCTCTTTAAATGTGCTGCTATTGCATGCTACTAGTGACTCACTGTTTCCCATCAAACTGATAAAAACAGATGCACTAACGTGCTTGATTCCATAAGAATGGCTGTAAGTCCTTATTCTAATTGCATTTTCATTTTCATTTCATTGAACATATCAAATTTTATTGAAAATTCGTTGCAGTCCTAGTATGTATATGTATGTGGTGTAAGCAAAAGCTTACCCTTTTGGAAATGAATTTATCAGTCCTCACTCACATGCTGCTCCTGAGCCTGTGAGCCATGGCTGAGTTTGACCATGTAGACATCACAGTCTGAACACAGATCTATATCAGAGACAGTCAAGGCATATTTTAATGGATCAATATCAGCTGTATTAAGCGTGATCCTTAAACAGACCTTATCCAAGGCATATTTTCAGAAGTTAACAAATTAATTTCAGTTTCTGCAGTCTGGGTGTAAAGAAGAAAATTGAAGTATATTCTATGCACCAGTAAAAACATTTTGAGAGTAGCTTGCAACTATAGGCTAGCAGAGGATAGCAGAATAATCATTGTTGTGTTTGTTAATTTTAGACCCAAATGCCCTGTCCACAGAGTTAGGTATAGTACAGTTGTATGCAAATGTATGGGCACACCTGGCCAAATTACATTGCATTTTGAAGTGAAAAGAAGTAAACAGAACCTTCCAGTGAACCGTTTTAGAAACTGCATTTTTCTGCGAATGCTAATGCACAATAACATTACATTTGATTCACTTGAAAATTAGAATAAAAAAAAAGAAAATACTAATTGTGGCATGTGCAAACATTGGACCCCCTTCCAGTTATAACGTCTCAAAAAAGCTGTAATTTTCTAGTTTGGACTGGTTAGGCAGGTCAAGAATTGTTAGGAATCGTCAACTGCTGACAATGTTGGAGCAGAACAAATTCTCTGACTCTTCAAACCTTGTGCTAACACTCAGCAACTTCCAGCTTTCCACTGTCCAAACTGCTTGTATGCTGGCCAGTGAGGCAAAGTAAAAATGACTGTGTATTAAGCTATATTCAAGCTAGTAGAAAACAATTGCCATCTTTGCACAGCATGACAACAGTGAGAGTGAAATCTAGTTGCCTAGCAACTAGTAATCCAAGGGCCAATCAATTTGGGTCATCAGTCATTATTAAACTCAGTATAACCTGGTCATTTAAAGAAAAAACTAGACTCCTAAACACATCAGTTCAAAGTTCTGCTTTCTGTGTGTGGGCTATGATGTACTTGTTGTAGTGTATTCCTGTTTCTAGTATTTCAGTTAATTAGTATACTATTGAACTTCAGTACCCTTCTGCCTGCACTTGAGTTAGCTCTGCAGAAGTGCTGGTGCTTCAGCTGGTGTATCATTTCCTCTGTCTCAAGATCTCTTCCACTTTACCTGCGAACAGTGAATTTAAAATAGTTTGATCTGATTTGTTTTTTATGATTGTGTCTTCAAAGCTTTCCTTATCCTTCATGAGCTAAGGAGGTCAGGTTTTTTGACGTCCCTTTTAACTTGTCAAACAAGCCACATGATAAGATATGCCTTAATGCTGTGAATAGCAATGCATAAATGCTATTTAAAGCCCAGTATTTGTGCTAGTGAGTCAAAAGTACCCTCTGAAATGAAGCATTTTGTGAAATACTGTTTTGATGATTTTATTGTTGTTTATCCAAATTTCCTGAAACTTTGACTATTAACATGCTTCTCCAAATACCTATCTTTCTTGCGTCCTATAGTGATTACAAAAAATGGATTGATAATCAGGTTTTGGTGCTTTTTAGGAGGTTTGTTGTATAATAATGTGTGTAAACACTGTTTTTGTTACCTCATCTGTTGGTCTTTAGTCTGTTTAATTTAAATGTCAGGCAAATGCCATGCGATTTCTTTTTCTGTTTCGCTTTAATTTGAAGGAAATGAGCTGACTTAGCCTGTCATTTAAGTATTCATCAGCTAAACCATGTCCTTTAATTTGGAGCCTGATACCACTGATTTTGTGATTTTTGGCTTTCAAATTAGCCTGCACCTGCTTTCTGCATTACAGCAGAACCTATGAAAACACTTCTGAAATACGGTGAGCCCAGTAATCGGAACAAACATGTCAAAATTGACATAATTCATCTGTCAGACGAGGCGTTGCTTTCCCAAATGTACATTGACATATGATTTCCATAAGCAAATGAATGCTGGCTGTGGTTGCCAGACAGGGACCTGTTTTCCTGTCTCTGTCACTTTTGTGGTGTGACAGCTGATGAGTGGGCTGGCAGCAGTGGAACCTGCTTTAAAAAGGAGCTCCTTCCACCCCAACCAAATACATACACCTGCTAGACGTGTACCAGCTCACTCAAACACATAAATATAACTTGGGAAAAAATGGCCTGGCATAACTGCATGGTACCCTGATTTAGTTAAAGGTCAAGTGAAATCAAAATTTATTCATATAGCACTTTTTAAAACAGGCAATGTCACAAAGCAGCTTTACAGAAAAATCTGGGTCCAAGGCCCCATGAGCAAGCCAGTGGCGACAGTGGCAAGGAAAAACTCCCTAGGAGCAAAAGGAAGAAACATTGAGAGGAACCAAGACTCAAAAGGGGAACCCATCCTCCTTTGGTCGACACCGGATACCAAAACAATAACAAGCTATATGAACAGTGAAAAAGGTTTTTACCATTAATATAGCATATTAAACAACAGATGAGTGGAAAAGAAGGTGAAGCAATGGCTATCATTAAATAATTTGAATCTGTGCATACAGCAGTATCATCAGGGAGGGTCAGTGGCATGCAGGTGAGGTCTGCACAGCGTTGTCCAGTAGGAAGCTTGATGGTGGTCTAACAGGTCCAGAAGGCAAGCAAGCAGTGGGCATCCGATTAAGGCAGATGAAGCAACAGCATCAAACCGCACAGGATGGGCAGTTGTTCAGCTTGGCAAAGAAACACACAGACAGTTAGTTCTGTTAAAAGAGACTGAGTACAGTACACAGTTTTAACAGACTGCAGCAGTAACTCTGGCACATGTATGAAATGCTCAGTACAAAAGGCGGTTCTCATGGAAAACTGAATTTCTCTGCTTTTTTGAAAGAGTGTAAAGCACAATGGAAACATTGTTGAAGTTTCAAAACTGTTGACTCCTCAGTCCGTATATGGAAGTCATGTTGCAGAAACCATTTTGAATTTGCTGCGGTTGTGATGTCACAACCATGGATTTATGTATGACTGTCCATTCAACCTACAGCCTATGATGAAGAGATAAAAGCAGTCAATGACAGAGTTACTGCAACGGTAGACATGGGGGCAAATTATTAAAATGATTTAAAGTATCATTGCAGCCTTCCAGATAATCTAGACATTTAAAGAGGAAGTTTTTTTCGACTTCACTGAGGATTTCAGTCTGAACTTAACAGTTTAGTCTGCACATTTCAGTTGCTTTTTGAAATAGGCACAAAAAATGTCAGAACAGATGTCATTTACATATTATCAGCTTGTTTAATTCTAAAGGAATAATGAGAGATACAATAAACTAAAAATGGAAAATGGACTCGTGAAATGAATATGGCCCTTCAGTCCTGTGTATAGGCCTGTCACATTGATTATCACAGTTATTTGAGATGATTGCAATTATTTGAGCTGGCTGCAGTAATTTTACACAGCTGTTAGATTTCATCGTATTATGCTGCAACAAGCAAAATGTAAATTAAGTGCATGGGGTTGAGACAAATAAATGTAATTAAAAGAATGCAGAAAATGCAGTCATTAATGCACATCAAGTAAACTTCTAACTTCTAAATTGGTGCTCTAACAAGTTTAGAGGGCAGTGTACGTAATGTCCTTGAATTTGGAGCCTAATGCCATAGTGATTGTGTGGTTTCTGGCTTTCAAATTGGCCTGCACTTGCTTTCTGCATTACAGTAGAACATATTAAAACACCTCTGAAGTTTGGTGAGCCCAGTAGTTGGAACGAACATGTCAAAATTGACATAATTCATCTGTCAGAAGAGGTGTTGCCTCCCCAAATGTATGTTGACATTGCATTTATGATTGTGACAGCCCTACCTGTGTCTTTAGTGTCTCAGATGGGGTGTGTCTGAGGGTCATGAGGTATGGGGTTTGAGAAATGTAATTTGTGTATATTTTAGGTGGCTGAGATGCATGGAGAGCTGATCGAGTTTAATGAGAGGCTGTATTGTTCACTCATGGCTAAAGACAACCTGATTGGCCAGATGAGACAAGAGCTCATCGACCTTCGAGGCCCAGTGAGTACATGCACGTACACACACCTACATCTTAGTATTTGTTTGATGATTTAGGTATTCCAATAAAGTGTATGTAGTTTTGAAAGAAAAAAAATATATTTTTTTTAATTCATTTGTGACTGTGCATGTGTAACTGCATCATGTCAGGACACAAGCAGCTGATTGCTTCTCAGAGTGTGTAACCACCTGCCTCAAATAGGGCCACACAGAAACATGAGGAAATTGAGGGTAAACTGCACCTACTGGGCTATGGATAAGGGTGTCATTGGGGGCATCAAAAAGAAATGCAAAAATTAGAACTAAGAACAGAGTACACGTCAACAAACATATGGTGAAACTGTCAAAGTGTATTAAGTGTGCTTCCAACCCTATATACAAAAAAACTATAGGGTTGTCCTTAGAGGAAACAGTTCCACCCACTTGCTGCAGTAATCCACTATCAGCAGCAGATGTTCATTTTGGCAAGGACTTTTTGGCAAAAGGCCCATTAGTTTAATGCCTAACATATACCCTGGCTTGACTACTGGTGTAGATTGCATGAAGCCAGCAGGTTTAGAAATTCAGGCTTGTACTTTTGGCAGGTTTCATGCTCTTTGCAGTAGTTCCACCCATCCTTCCTGATTGTTGGCCAATATGCCATGTCCAAGAGTCGCATCAAGGTTTTCATCCTCCATAGATGTCCACACAAAGAACTGTCATGAGCATACTGTAAAATGGTCTTTTGCTGTGACTTGACAGGCTATGACTTGACAGGTGGTTACCACTCCTTCTTCAGGTTCGGGTGTGATACGGGACAGGGTGTCTGGTACTACATTGCACTTTCCCTTCCTATACTGGACTGTAAAATCAAATCCCTGCAAGTGGATTGCCCACCTGCTCAATCTTGAAGAGGGTTTAGGTTGGTTAAAAATCCAAGAAAGAACAGTATGATCTGTAACCACTTCAAAGTGTCGCCCTTCCAAGAACACTCTCCACTTCTCAACAGCTCATATCACTGCAAGACACTCCTTTCCTGAAGTGGAGTAATTCAGTTCTGCACCTTGCAAAAGCCTGGAGGCATATGCACTTACACGTTCTTGTCCTTCTACTTCTTGAAGGAGTACCGCTATCAGACTTTTGTTGCTTGCGTCAACCTGCACTTTAAAGCCCTTGGTAAAGTCAGGTCGCTTCAAGATTGGTGATGAGATCAAGGCCTGCTTGATGTGTTGAAAGGCTTTTTGGCACTCGTCAGTCCACATCCATGTGGTACATTTCTTCCTCAGAGCGTTCAAGCAGGCTGCTTTGTCAGCAAACTGTTGACTTAAGTGATGGTAAAAGCCCGCCATCCTCAAGAACATCTGTATTTCCTTCACAGACCGAGGCTCAGGCTCTTCACTGCTTTCTCCTTGTCGTGCTCTGTTTGGATATCCATACTGGATACTACATATCCCAAAAAAAATGAGCTCCCGTTGCAGGAGGTTACACCTCTTGAGGTTGAAAGTGAGTCCAGCCTCATGAAGACAATGGAACACATACTCCTGGGTGTTGTAAGTGCTGTACCACTGAGGTGGAATATACGACTATGTTGTCTATGTAAACAAGGCAGCAGTGACCTTTTAACCTCCTCAGAACAGATTCCTTAAGTCTTTGAAAAGTAGCAGCAGCATTTTTGAGTCCAAAATGGAAGGGCAGTAAATTCCAACAATCCACAGCAGGTGGTAAAGGCAGTTTTCTGGATGCTCCGTGGTTCCAGTCCTACCTGCCAAATATCTACTTTTTAAATCTAAGCTGCTGAACACAATAGCTCTATAGAGGGACTCCTGAATGCCCTGAATCTGAGGTGTAGGGTAACCATCTAGATGGGTTTTTGTGTTCAGTCTCCTGTAGTCAACACAGAATCTCATACCTCCATCCTTTTTTGGCACCAACACCCCTAGGGATGCCCATGGAGACGTTGAAGGTCTTATAATCTATCTCTATCATGACATCGATCTCTTTCTTAATAAGCTCCTGTTTGTCAATGGAGACTCGGTATGGATGCTGTCACACAGGTAACTCATCCATAGTGGTAATGCAGCGAGTCACAGCAGTGGTATTTCCTAGGTGTGTGGTGCAGACTGATGCCCAACTGATCAAAAGCTGATGAAACCTCTGCCTGACATGGGTACCTGCATCAGCTCCATCCACCAGGTTTTTGATTTAGTTCAGCAACTTTGGATCTTCAAGTGGGATGATGTCCTGGGCCAGGTACAGGTGTATTTTTGCTTTGTCATTTGGCCCCACCTGCTTCTCTGCTAAGAAAGAGAAAGAATCCTTCAATGTGGGCCTTCCACCAATCCTTGGCTGTACCAGACAGAGCTGATGTGAGTCCTGCAAGAATTTCGGTATCACTTAGGGGCTGGACTGCCAGAAACTCTTCACATTTCTCAATGAAGGCAACTGGATCCATTTCCTCACAAAGACCTCCACACCTAGGGAAGTCAATCTTGACAGGTGGTTTGGTGTGCATTCCACTTACACTGTCCATGAGATGATCATTCTGTCTATTTCTTTCCCCTTTCTTCTCTGTTGCTCTGGAGAACCGAGTGGAAGTGAAATTGCAGGCCTGAAATCTCTTCTCAAGTTGCACATCATTCCTTTAGAAACAGTCCACAACTGATCTTTTGAGCTCCTATATCTCCAGATCCATCTCTTTCTTAAGTCGCTCACACCACTTCTCCACGTAATATCCCAGTTGATTCTCCAGATCTTTACTACTCTCCTCAAAACTGTTTCTCAGCACCTGCAACTGTCCTCTCCATTTCTTGATTTGTAGGGTCACGACGAAGCAGCGCTTCTCCAGCATCCCTGGTAGTCTTTTTTCCACTGGAGAACAAAATAGTGGTCAGTATCCTTCCAACCTTAAGGAAGATTGTCCACAGGAGGGGGAAGAGGGGGAAGCTAGTTTTGTTGGTTATCTAAACTCTCGCCAGATACTGATATCTCCTGCTCATCATCTAAGCAGATTTATAGCTGTCTTAGGGTGTCAGTGATGTCATTCATGGATCTTTGAGTCACAAATGGACCAGCAGTGAAGTCTAAAGGGGGTGAGGATCCATCTATTGCCTCTGACCATTTACTTGCAGCCATCATTACACAGTGTTTGTGTTCTGTGAGAACAGGCTAATTAAAATGAGACAACAAAAAAGGTAGGAGGTATTTTCTATATCAGGAGAAACTGCAGGTTCCCGTGGGCGCCACCACTATGTATCCGCCTACCTAAAATAGGGCCACACAGAAACGTAAGGAAATTAAGGAGAAAGGTGAAGCTGTTATCCAGAGTTTCTTCCTGAAGTTTTTAGTGTAACTTTCAGCTGAGTACATTGGAGGGTAATCCTTACACCAGCATTAGAATGATGGGTGATATATAGTCTCCTCTTAATAACACATTAATCATTGCAGTGAGCAAAACAAACAGAAACAACAATGGAGGATTTAACCAAACAAAGCCTGGAGTTAGCATAGCATGCTAACAGCTACATCAAACCCCAAAACCATACATTTCCTAATAGTTTCATGAAAATGGTTCACAGACAGTGAAAGCATAGCATAGAAACACAAATAATCAAAGCAGAGGGTGCATGTGTTGTCCAAACAACTCCCCTGTTTCACTACCCCTTTGTTTACTGTACCTACCTTAAAGATTCAATATATAGAACTGAACTACAAAGTGAATTGTAACTTTAAATACTGAGCTTCCTTGAGGGGAGGTTTGGAAATAGTTAAGCTAACACATACACAAACACACATAAAAGCATTTGTTTAGTTGTATTTATTCTAATGTTAGTGTGTTTTTTAGTGATGCATTGATACAATTTTTTCAGTACAAATACTAAAAAAGTGGGCTAAAATGATTGATGTTGCATCTGCTTTGATCAATATTTGCGTCAATATTTTTATTTTATTTATAAGGGGGAACGTTTGCAATAAAACTGTAGGAATTAGTAATAACTTTTTTAAATAAATTTGAGAGCACTTTATTTTGTTTTTCCTCATCTTTCCTGAATATTTGACTGTAAACTTTTTGAGTACAAGTACTTAAATGGCAAACCTCATTTCCAAAAAAAAAATTATATTTGTTCTCTTGAACCTTTATTAACTACTTTTAATGTTTTGGCATGATTGTATTTTTCAAATATAAACAAATGTTGAATTTGATGCCTCCTGTCTGGAGAGAGGCAAAACATGGGTAAAAAGTTTATAAAATATTTGTTACACTGTGTTGAAACATTCCAACGTGAATTGCTAACAGATGAGGGGATCATGATTGGGGTATCCACCAATGGCTAAGTCTTTGCAACCAAAATTGGGTTGTGGCTCAAACAGTTCAAAAAGAACATTTCTAAACACAAGATTGCAAAGAATTTAGATATTTTGCCATCTACTGCACTAATATTGTGAAAAGATTCATGAAATCTGTGTAGGGCAAGGCTGGATACCACAAGTGTAGATGACTTTCAAGCACCCAGACAGCATTGCATGAGAAACTGTCATGCTACTGTGCTTAAATATAGCCAGATGGGTGTGGGAGTATTTCAGACAACCGTCACTTGCATTATATTTTCTTGTTAAAAATTAGGATTATCAATCGGAGTCTGGCCTCTGAACCTCAACCTTAATTTTTCAAAAAGGTTACTACTCATTTTCTCTCATTCTAATATAAATTTATTACTCTTTATAATTTATACCGTTTACACATTTAATGCAGAAATAGCGCGAGATTGGACTAAACTTCATGCCCTTGCAAATATTGTGAATTTGGGTTGAATTTGTGTGAATTTATGATTGCAGATTCCTCAAGGGACTCATTGGAACACTAAACAAATTCGTAAAATTGTGATAAAGAAAATTATAGAGACCCTGTAAACAAACAACAGGTAGCTGACTGAATATCAGCCTATTAAGCCATTAACTAAAAGTATTAATTTATTTTTTATGATATGTTTGGTTTGAGTACTTGACAACTGTTTTTCTGGTGTATTTTGTCTGTTTTACCTTAAAACCTCAGAAAAATTAAATATTGATATGAATAATGTACAGCAAAATGTCTTTAAGCGTATTTTTGCCATATCGCCCACACTTGACTACTGCAGTTACACACACACATGCACACACACACACACACACACACACACACACACACAAACACAAAAAGAATTACAGCACTACAGCATTGCTTGTAGGCCATGAGCGATTAAGGATGAAGGGATTAGTGCAATAGCAGGTAAATATATCAGTTTATTGAGCTTTTCTCCATCCAAATGTGGCTTTTCATAATGTGAAGTAATCTTTAATTATTTGGACCAATATTATAGTAAATTATGGGTCTTCCTTATTTTTAGACCAATGATGTGAGAAGACAGAAGCATCTCAGGGACTGACAGGCTAGTCTTTACCAGCCTGATGCCACAAAATTCCTAAAAACTTTACCTTTGTGCTTATGTATTTCATTACTTGCACTTTGACTACATTCAGAAAAAAATGCAAAGGTTGATGTTAGGGCGGAACTATATATCGTTAATCATGATCGCAGTATTGGCCTTTGCACAACTCATATTGCATAGTGCTGCAATATGCAAATGACAAGGCCTGTCACTATGAATTGTACACTGTATGTCCAAAAGTATGCAGGCACCCCTTCTAATTAGTAAGATCAGGTACTTTAAGGCGCACCCATTGCTGACATAGGTGTTCAGCTGTGCACACCCAGTTTGTATTATGTCCATAGAAAAGCACTGCTAATATAATGAGCAGCTGCACGTGAGCCTAAATCACCACGCCCGATGCCAAGCATCAGCTAGGCGGGTATTAAGTCCCCCAGCATTGGGCTGTGAAGCAGTGGAACTGTGTTTTCCGAAGTGATGGAGCACCATTCAACATTTTGGGATGAATTGGAGTGGTGTTGGTGATCTAGAGCTAATTATCCAACATTAGTACCTAACCTTACTATTGCTCTTGTGGCTGAATACAATCAAATCCTCAAGAAATGTACATATAGTGTAAAGCCTTCCCACTAGAGTAAATGTTGTCAGTGTAACTGCAAATTAATATTTGTTTCATTGGTATTTATTTGGACTTTTTGAACATGACCTGTCTTATTTGTATTTATTCTGATCCATATTATCAGCTAATATAAATGATCTCTGTGCTCTAATCACCTTTATCCCTTGGGTGTAACGATCTTTGGTGTGTTACCAGAAAATAATCAGTTCATAGGAACAAACAGGAATATTTTAAATGTGTTTCTAGCTGAATGTAGCTTACCGACATCACCGAAAAACAGATTGGAAGCTTGGTGCACTGTGAATCCATGTCCCTTCTGTCTTCTTTCTTTTTGGCTAAAGCTCTTTTATGTACTTCTTTACATCTCTTTGACGTTTTAACCTGCCATGGCTATCAAGAATAGTTAGCACACCCAAAAGCCATATTTACGTACTGTTTTCTCCACCTTTTTGTATGTGTAATCATCTTCACAATTATCCTTTGTAAGTTAACCCCAAAATGCCCACGTACTGCTTGTATAGTCTGCTCCACTGCACATGCTAATTAGCACTTGATATTTGGAATTTTACCAAAAGAACATGCTGTATTAGTTATTGACTGATTATTTTACAATTAATATATTAATATAATTAATACAGAGTTTAAAATAAATAAAAATGGGCTTAATTGATCAATAACAAATCAAATCAAAGATTCCAAACACTTTACTGGCCTTTAAGAAACTTCATAAAATATAAAAGACTTACTATTTATCTTTATATAAATTGTTATATATTTATTATTGTGTATCTTTATATAAACATATATAAATATAAAAACACTATGGATAAAAGTTGCATATAAATTAGTGTTTCAGTCAACCACAGTTTTTTACTTTAAGAATGTGTTTATACTTGTATTTCAGTTCTCTTGGTCCAGACCAAAGCAGAAAATGATACACAGTTGTATTTTAATTCTGGTTCCCTTTAGCTTTCACACTGACATACTTAACATTGAACCAAAAGATGTAAACAAAAGTCATACAGGTAAAAAGTCACAACTGATTGGCCAGATTTTATGACGTACAATATCCGTCAAATCCTGTTCTCTGTTCTATCAGGTTGGTTTTATTTTTGTCTTCTTTTGTCTGTCTTGTAATGTTTGAGCAATAAGGCATAAGATTCAATGCAGAGTGAAAGCAAAGCAGAGTGAAATCCCTGTAACAGCCTCAAGTGGCTGACTGCTTTTACAAAACTGAGAAATCTTGGTGTCTTAATATGTAATATAATTTGTGTGCAGTCAAATTTGTACATTGAATATTTTATAATGACCTCAGCTTCGTTTTAAAACAGAAACTCTTTGTTCTATAATTACCGATTTAGAGTTTATGAATGAATAATAAAACCCATGAACACGTTAAAATGATGTTATTAAGTTATTAAGAGAGGAGATGACCGTTTATTCTGACTTATTCTGACTGGTTCATTCAGATATCTTTGGTCCATATACATGAAACAAATTTCACCAGAGTTCGTTTTGAAGTGAACTGAGACCGACCTGCTTAGGGATTCTCGGTCTGCTTACTTGGTGTATCAGATTCGGATGATGGCGTTCTCACTTGCTGCAACAAACTACACTAACAATCACACCAGGTTTTGTTTTAATCAAACGAAACCTGCCAAGTCTGAACAAACCCTAAAAGATGAAAAGAAAAAATTGAAATTTGACCAGAGACTTTTACCAGTCTTAGGCTACGTTTACCCAGCAGGTAAAAGGCTACGTTTACATAGCAGGTAAAAGGCTACGTTTACACAGCAGGTAAAAGTGGCCCAAATCCAATCTTTTTTCTCAAATGTGACACAGATGTGTCATCTGTGTGGCAGTGTGAACAGCAAAAAACACACTGAATCTGACATTTTCGATTCCGATTTGAGACGCTTTCATATGTGGTACTGAAATCCAATACGTATCCGATCTGCGGCAATACGACTCAGTCATGCGACTTTTACGTCAGTACAACTCGACATTCGTCATAATTTCTGCTTAGACTCATAAACATTTGATGTTTCTGTAGCAAAAAATAGAAGAGACTTACCGCAGCCGCTCCGTGCTCGAAGAGGTTTCGAACGAAACGGCCGAACGCAGCCGGAGGAGACCGAGGCTGCAGCGTCAGAGAACAGTTTAAAGAATCCGAGGACACGAACCAAAGAAGCGAATTCGGCGAACTCGAACACACTGTGGGTGATGAGCCCATGATTGTTTACTTCTGGACGAGCCGTGGCTTTTGTGCATGCGGGTCGCTTTAGGAGCATGATCTGTTCAGACTAATGTCGCATACAGGTCACATTTAAAAGATAATCTGAACAGCCAAACAAAAAAATCGGATTTGTTGAGAAAATAAGATTTGGGCCACTTTTACCTGCTGTGTAAACGTGGCCTTAGATTGTATGAGATTTTTTCTGTGGGGATTTAGAGGCATCAGATCATTCACATGACTCAAAAAATGTAAATCATTTTGGATAAAAATAATGCAGACCAATCTTTAACCACATCAAAGATTAATTAATTTATGAATATATTTGCAAGGCAAATTGCAATCATAATATGTAGCAGTGTCATTTCAACATGGAATTTGCAGCCCTGGTAAAGTTATATAACACAATATAAAATATAGAAAAAGCTTGATTGAAAACAAAATCTCAAATGAACGGTATCACTTGTTCTGCTTTCTGTTCTATAAAGGTGCCCGGGGACCTAAGCCAAACCTCTGATGATCCGAGCCTGTCTGACTTTGAGACGTAAGTACCCTCTGCTTTCTTTTCTGTGGTGTATTCTTGATAGTGTATTTCTTTTTGCCTGACAGGTGGGTGCTATACAATGTGAGTGGTTTTGCTCCCTTTCAAAATCGCCACTAGAGCCAATAGGGTGATTTGTGTCATACTAAGTTGAAGTGAACAGTCTAAGAATAGATGGGCTGAATGCTTTTGCTCTGTGGAATGCAGCTGTAAACTTTCAGGTATTATATCCACCAATCTTTAATCGTTAAAACATAAGATTGTTTTTTTCTTTCTAGTCTATTGTCTGTTGACTATGGTTAAAAGAGAAAATGCATGTGGAAGTGCAGACAGTTCTCCTGGCTCTTAAAGCGATGGTTCAGTGAAAAATCAAAAGCACAAAAGACTTGTTTGGTGTCTGAAGTTTGCTTTTTTTTTTAGGTTTACACTGAAGCTCCAAGGCTAATGTTACTAACAAGTAATGGAAGATTATGTACATCAAATAGTATCAGGCAAACTATATGCCTGAAGAATCTCACACTTGCCTTACCTAAGATTTAGCTTTGCAGCAGACTTTTGGTAATTTTTATAGCATATATAAATAACGGTGATACAGTGTTGTAGTTTGTCATGATTTAGGCAGTCAGTTTTCACAGTGCAAACTGGTAGCAATACACTTCTATTACTTGTTAGCTACATTAGCTTCACAGCTTCAGGGCAAAACTTAAGCATTGCAGGCACAAAACATATTTTGGCTGATTGACTACCAGAGTAACGGGAAAATTGTGTAAATTTGATTGTTCGCCAAACTATTGGCTATAACGTCCATGATACAAATATAAGATAATCTTTGGTTTCTAACATTATTATAGCTAAGAGCTCGTAAATTTTGTTTTAGGAGATACCAACATGTAGTGTAATTAAGTGTTAAGTGGTTGGCTGTTGGTAAGTCCATTCATTGTACAATTGTATGGATTACATTACATTAAAATGCCGACATTCTGAAAATGTATACTGTGACGTGCCACATGTCGCGCTGCCACGCTCGCAGATAACAGAGACGCTCATTCTTGTTGATACTGCTGATGCTGTAGCTGTTATTAGTGTAGTTGTGTTGTTTTCAGCAAACTGTGTTTGAGGGGGGTGGCCTTTGTAGTGTAACTAGTCGTCAGAAGTATCTGTCCTCCTCGTAAATTGTGTCCACTGATGTTACCCCTTCCTGTGTTACATGTTGGGTTAGCACTGGTCATTTTTTGCTGCCTGTTAAAGTGCCTGTTCAAAAAGCACAATGTTTTCCATATCTTCTTCTACGCAAATACTACAATATGGTAAGTATTGTATAAGGATGATGAATAATGTCACTGGTGCACTTGTCTTAAATACTGTTCTCTGTGTTTTTCCTTAGAGCTCATCGTGCTCTTGTCAACGTATGGATACCTTCGGTATTCCTGCAAGGCCGTGCTGCCAATGCCTACCATGTCTACCAGGTAATATATCATTACTGAATCCATTTATCTGAGTGCTGAGTGCTGTAATTCTCTCCTCGCTGCATGCAGACAAGACACATCTCATTCATAACCACCCACTGTAGAGTAGAAATCTTCTGCACCCACATGCGCACTGTTTTGCTCTTTCAAGATGCTTTATTCGCCTGTTTTGTCAGATGTGTTGTACATACTATATGCTGCCTGAACCCCTTTCTTTATGTTTGGCTGATTCTGTAAATAAGCTATGTCATGCTTAATGGAAAGATGAGTGGAGTGATATGATGGTGCCCTATAAGAATGATCAGATAACAGGGCTCCCAGTGACTAAGATGGTCACAGTTGCCACCACTATTATTAATTCGCGAGTAATAAAATTAATTAACTCGCCAGTGGCAACACGTAGCAATTTTGGATTATTATAATTTTTTTTGTTAACTATTTATTTCTATTGTTCTGTATTTGTTAATGTTATTGTTCATGCATTTGTTTTACCATTTTTCATCTTAAAATGTAACTGATAGTCTTTAGTGTCCACCTATCAGAAACGCCTTCATGCTTGTGGGATTTCGACCAGAGCGGCAAAACATGACAAGCAAAGCAGCTAAGCCAAGATGAGCTTTTTTACTGTTAACCTCAGTGTGGAGAAAATGGCAAAGCGAAAAATAACAAATTTTTTCACATAATCACCATCTCTGTCGGACTGTAACATCTGCTCAACCCCTAATCTGCTTAACCTCCCAAATCGTGTTAATGAAAAGTAGCAGACTGGATGGGTTTGAGAATCAGGCACAGTGGAAGTCAGAGATACTTAAATGGGAATTCCACTGATTTTTCAAAATTTCTGTACAATTCAGTGTTTCAGATATAAAGAGTCATTGTTTTAATGTGAAATGGTTCTTTTGCAGAGAACTTACAGACTGGTGTCTTTACAGTGATGGTGACAGAAGCCAGGACTTCAGGAGTTTTTGTGTAACATTGATGACGGTAAAATAGTGGTAAATCAGAAAATTCTTTAGGGACTATTTTGCCTTAGAACACTCTTCATGTATCCGTCCACCATGAATGGATTAAAATGAATTGATTAAAACACGGTTAAACCAAAACTTTATCACAAATTTACTGTAAAACAATGTCTCAGACATCAGGCAGTATATTCATAACCATTTCATATAAGACTTTTTTGGGAGGAAGCTTTCAGAGACTTTTAACTCCTCTGATGTCTGGTTTATATCATCATCACTGCGTACAATTCTGACTCTGTAAGTCTCTCTAGAACAAAGCGTTTCATACCAAACCACTCTGCATGATGATGTTGACATGTTAACCATTTAATTATGCAGAAATCGGTGGATTTGCCTTTTAAATAACAGAGCTGACCTGAGTTGTGTTGAAAAGCTTTATTTGTTTGCATATTATTATTATTTGGCACTTAAAAAAAGCTATTGGCGCCTGTTTTTTTTTTTCTTTTAGGAGCCAGTGGCTCCTTAAGCTATTTTTTTTTTTTATCTGAAGCCCTGGATAATAGAGCATTACTGTTGTAGCAGTGTCTCATCTTGCAGTCTTTAAATCTCGTGATTAAAAACAGGTAGTTTTCAAACATGATTCTAAACATGGGTGAGCTATGTTTAATACTATTGTAAAATACTTGAAATACTCCTGTGAATACTTTTTCAGTGTCCAATAAATGACTGATCACATGGCTTATGGGGTTTGTCCTGCCTGCGCAGCTTCAACAAAACTGTGTTCTCCTACAGTCTGTGTACGAGTCAGACAGTGAAAGCTAACAACCGAGCGAAAGTAAGCTTGCAAACATGACTGAGCTAGCACTGTCTAATTGTTGTCCGCTTCATTAAGACATTGCCATATAAAAGCTGGAAAATGGATTTTTTTTTGTGAATGGACACAGCGGGCATAGTCTACAACACCACCTGTAATTGTAAATCTTGTTTTATTCATTCACTCACACCGCCACTTGAGTGGCGTAGCAGGCTGGGAGTGTTGGACAGAGGACTGTCAATCAAGCATGCTCATTAGAGCACTGGGCCACACCTAGATGCTTCTCAGATAGGTCTGGTCAGTGGTTTTGAAGCCACATTTTATATTTCTGTCTTTTTTTGGTTCAAACTCACTGTATGTTTAATATAATGCTCAGTTTTAGTATCATGCTAAACTAGAACTAGATTCTACGCAGCTTGTTCCCCTCATTCTGTCTTAATTTTATCCTGAGCCAAACATTGTAATGGATCCCTATTGAAACAGGTCTGTTGTTTGCACAGCACATGATTGATGGCAAACGTTTTCCATTGTTTTAGATTTAACCCAGTTATCCCTGAGGCTTCTATTTCCAGACATGACAAATGAGGCCAGGATGCCTTGTTCCCACTAATGGCAATGGTGTGCTCCTGTATTTGGGAACATACCAGTATTTAATTTTTCACTGATCGGTGGAAGTATCTGTGTTTGCGTGCATGAACAACATGCAGAGATTAGGTAGCATTTTTACTTGCTGTCAGAAAGTAGCAATGATGATTTTCTTATTCAGTGCACTAAACAGGAGTGTTGCATATTAAGGCCTAAAGTCTATAATACCTAAAATCTTACATTTAGCCTCTCAACAGCAGTCTAGCACATTGCACGGCTATAGCGGCATGGTTGAACCCAAAAAAGGGCCACCTTGTTACCCTGTCAGGTCTGTCAAGATTGCTCTGTTAGGCCTAAATAAGACTTAATTTAAATTTTTTTTAATTAAAAATTAATATAATTAGTAGTGCTTCGCTAATCAGAATTAGCGATAAAAGGGGAATTTCATTGATTTTTCAGAATGATTGCATAATTAAATTATGATCTAAACAAAATCTTTCAGATTAGTTTGATATGAAATGCATTCTAGAGAAACTTAACAAGTCAGAATTGTCATAGCAATGGTGATAAGAACCAGATATCTGAAGCATGTAATTTTTCTAAAACCCTGTTTATAATAATTTATAATAGTATAATTACTATTATCAACATTTCAATAAAAAACTCAGAAGACACATTTAGCTTACCTGGTCGTTTTAGGTAAAATAGCATTGTAGACATTATGACGTGGTTCCTGTCACCACCAAGTAAAATCTGTGTTGGTAAGTTTCTCTGTGGTGCGCTGTTTTACATAAAGCCACTCTGAATGACTTTGTTTACATGTCAGCAAGTGAATTCAGAATGCAGAAAATGTAAAATACAGGTGGAACTCCCTTAACCTGTTAAATGCTATTACAGAGAAATTGAGAGAGAGAGACAGACAGACAGGCAAGCCCGAGGACAGGCATTTTCACTAGCATTATAGGACATCACCACCACTGCTGAAAATTACAGTTGCTCTGAATCTTGACAATACTCTGTTTCTATCTTTTGTTCATTTGGTCCAGTGCAGATATTAAGTTATTTTGGGAAATGCTCTATTTGACTCCTATTTGGTGAAACCTTTCAGTGAAACCTTTAGGCAGTAGTACTGACTGGCTCTGATTGTGTAGAGGATAAAGCTCTTTGAACCCTTTCTGGATAGTCTTTATTTTTTAGATGTCACTTATTGCCTAGCAAGTCGGAAATACCGTCCTTTGCAAAAACTTTTTTACTGGACTATCAGATGTTTTGACAGGGTTATCTCTTTCTCCTTGGGGCGTTGTTCCACTCTTGTTTTGGCGAGGCAGAAGTGTTTCTTTTATCTGCATTGCTGCTAGCTCACTCACTAGCAGCTGACTAGCCTTTTATTCTTCAGGCATGGAAGTCTGTGCTGCCTGAGAAAAAAACTTGTGCCTGACATTTGTTACAGTTCTCTTCAATCAAAAGCTCCATTTTCTGCTGAGGTTTATAGGCTCATACTAGAAAAATATATTATTTCCCTTTGCAATGATTCATGATATACTTCTGTAAACCTGAGCTTAATCCCAATCTTGAATAAAGAATATGATGATAATGATGAAGATGACAATTAGATTACTATTCTTTTAGAAACGATTAAATGCATCATGAAATCTACAATTTCACCATGATTTGATTTGATTTCAAATATTGCTTTATTTTGAAATCCCATTGTAGATGCTTATGTTGTCCGGTACCTTTACTTCAACCCAAAACCTAACCTTCATCCCTAGTCCTAACCTAACCCTGGTGCTAATCCTAACATGTTGAAAATCAGCTGTTTCTCTCCAGACAGATAAACTAGATGGGGTTTAGTGGGAGTGGTTTGCTTATTTTGGTACAGTTTAAAATAATTATAAATACACTTAGTAAACGAATGTGACAAGAGGAAGTATTCACACAGCAGTGGATAGTAGACAGTACATATTTTTGTATTTTATGTTTGAAGTTGACTGAGAAGCTAAATACACATCATGTATTGAATAAAATTAAAATCAATTTTATTATTGTTATTTTATTTAATTCTAATGAAATGGATGCAGTTGTGTGGCCACTTCTGGATCATTGCATCATGCTGCATTGATGCATTTTTATACCCCTTTTAACCTGTATCTCTTCTACCCCCAGTATCTGAGCAGTCTTGTTGGCTGGCTAGGTCTTCTCAGGTGTCCCCCTGTGAGCTTCTGTCTCTGCATATTGATTGGCTAGAAGCCCTAGCCACACACAAAGAAAACATAATAAATGGAAAATAGATGCCTTACATGCTGAGTCTCATTAAACTTGGCTTTCCAGTATTGTGTCAATGACACCTTGATGCACTGGTTTCGTGTAGCTTGCTGTGTTCTTCTCTGTTGGTGCCTTTCTATGTGGCTTGGTGTCATACTTAGTGATCAACATAAGATTTCTGAGGTCAATATTATAGCCCCTCAGGGAAGGGAACTTAAGAGCTGTGTCTTTGGTTGTCTTGGGAAAATGAAGCAACACTTATGAAAGGTGTGCTTATTCTGAAGTCAGTTATCTTGTGAGGACCCAGACTGGAGGCTGCAGTCTGTTCTTCTTGGGGATGGCTGGCTGGAATTCCTGATGGCTGGCCAGTCAGA